TTTCATTCATTTTAATGTATGATATTGTATATATAGCAGAAATTTCTCTCTCAATGCATCGTTTTTCCATTAATTATTTGGGATTTTAACATTATTTCCATCGAATGTATTATGATTGATCATAAATTATAAATATAATGCATTACTATGCATTACAATCGTACCGTTTTATAATTAATTTCATTGAATTACATTTATAACTTTTCATCAATTATAATACATTCGAAGGAAATAATTCCAAATAATTAGTTGAAAAACAATTTATTGAGAGACAAATTTCAGCTTTATTTAGAATATAATACATTAAAATGAATGAAATAGTTTGTATTTTAATTACATAACGTAATTATTTATCAAAAAATAATGGAAAATAATGTTCATTATTTTTCATTATTGACTCCATGTTTTATGACTATATTTTAAAACGTTGAATAAGTTAATTTCTGTGTAGTATTACTTCTCGTCATTATTGCTGATCTTGTATCACAAGCTCGACGTTGATCGAATGGATTGTAACGGCTAGTTCGTACTCTATGTTGGCGATCCTTGAAACTATATCGATTAACAGAATCAACTGGCCACCAACGGTTATTGTTCATATTGTTTGTTGTTGAACAAGAACTTCTATTTGAGCTCAAACAATATGCATCATTCAGATCTACATGAAAAAAAAATATAATATTATTATTAATAATTAGATAGAAATAATCAAAAAAAATTCTCACTTATCGACATCAATGAAAGCGGTTTTGTTGATGAAACAGAGGATAACACAGGAGTTGTGTTACTACTTGATGAATCAATTGGCGATAATGATAAAGATGATGATTGCTCGTTGTTGGAGATTCTAGAATAAATAAAGAACAACATATAATTCATGTTTCTGTAGACTTTTCTCATTAATAATCAATAAAATCTTTTTTTTTTAATTTTATTTCCCTACTTATATTGTTTATCTGAAGTGTAACAACATTTTCTATTAAATCTTCAGAGAATAAAAAATATCAACAACTTTATTTTTTTTCGAAAAATATAAAAAATTTTATCGAGATGATTTATTTAATCATACCGATATCATCGTTTAATTCTGAGTGTGTGAAAAAAAACAATAAACAGTCAATAAATTTTTTATTCAATCACTTTCAAGTACAATATAATCTTTGACTTTCTAAATCACAATATCGAAAATTATTAGGATTGTCTTAAAATGAAATCAATTGAAAAAAACAAATTTTCATTGTCAAATGTTTTCAGCTAGTTACTTCAGTTGTGAAAATAATTAAAAGAAAAGATGATTGATAGCATACTTATTCTTTAAGATATTTTCTTGTATGTTTTGTTTTTCCTGATGAGAAACAATTGATGAACAATCAAAACCTTCATTTGATGTTGATCCAATTGTTTTTCCAAAACAAATAGGAGAACAAGCTACATCACGAGTACCAGACCATGGTGGACTAGCACCAATAGCTGTATCAATCATATTTGGTGTTAAAGACATTATCTTTATCTAAAAGAAAATATTTGAAAAATATTAGCTATATTTTAATAGATTTTATCAATGAGAGATGGTAAACAAATAAACGTTTTTAGTAAAACGAAAAAAAAAAGATGATCATATATATATATAATGTTATCTTATAACTTTTCTATTTGTTTTTCTTCTAACACAATGTATAGATCTAAAACAAAGCTGTCTAGCAAAGAGATGAATGTTTATGCACGTGGACTGATAAACGGCGTTGGATAAGACATAAAAACAATATTCAAAAGGAATAGGCCATCGATAATCATATCTAAAATAACAAAAATAACATAAAATCAAGTTTACAAAAAATCGTATATTCACAGAAAGATTCAAAGAATCAACTTTGGAAAAATAATAGATCTACTATCTTTTGTCGAAAAATATTTTTGATCAACACACTATGTTTTAAAGGAGAAACAAAAGACTGTGATGAAAAAAAAAAGATGTCTATGAAAAAAATATTTTTCGGTAATTAGATGATTTATTGAAAAAGAAATTCCGTAGTTTCTCATATGACATTGAAAAAATAATCTGTGTGAAGCTACCACAACACGACCATTGAGCATGACTAGTAGAATATTGTGACACGTCAAAATGAAAACCAATCAGAAAGCAACAAATAAAAAAATACCACTATGAAGGAGAGACCCATGGACATGGTACTCCATAGTAACCGTAGCATATATATCACTGCTATATATACGGCTATTGTGATATCGAAAACATGAGAAAAAGCTTATTATTTTTTCTACGAAATTATTTTTGTGCATAATTTCTAGAGTTCTTCCTATCCTCAAAAAAGCACGCATCTTTCAATTTTCTACTAAAAATATTGAATATTTTGATGGAAAAAAAAATGAAAATGAACAACTCCATAGAAACAATAGACTAGTTTTAAAGATAGGACTTTTTCCTTAATAAAAAAGATATGACTATTGATGATTAAAAATAATTGATTGTATCAGTTTTAAAAAAAAAACCTAATTATTATCAATTTGAACTTTATTTAATTCATATTATTATAGTAATTTGGCTAAAAATTATAGTTATATCTACTGTTAATCTGTTAGAATACTAGGATTCAAAACCGAAATAAAAATTAAAAAAATATAACAAAATGATAGTTTCAATTTTGAGTTTAAAAACTGAACGGAGATATGAACACGCAAAAGTTGGCCATTTCTAAACCATTTTTCTCATGCCCGAAATATATGTAAACAAGTTCTCTAATACTGCTGACATTATCGTCTCTCCTATTCTCTCATAGAAATTTTTAATGTGTAGTATGACAAAAGAAATGATAACATTTTCTAAGCTAAATAAAATAGCAAGTGAGGTTTTACATCGTGCTCGACTCATTACATGTTACGAAGTCTTTGTATGAGAGAAGGTTATTCCATGTTCTAATTAAATACTGTACATATCGTGTTTCTATGCAAATAAAAGAAAAAAGATTCGGTTCAAAGTACGCTCTTTCTAGTGTGCTATTACGTTTTTCTATAAAAATGTACAGTTTCGGTCGATTAGTAATTATTTTAGTGAAAATTTCAATAAAACTACTTGCACTTGATAGTGGAGTAGTTTGTTGTTAATTATATGTAGAAAAAAATATAATGAGATAAATGAAATGAGATTTATGTTACCGAAATCTATTATCCCATTCGGAAACTTCAGAAAATATATTCATTATATTAACATTGTCATATATTAAGCCGTCAAAGCTAATTCAATAGCTTCTATAATCTCTGACTGGTGTACGTTAAAGGTATTAAGCATGAGACCACAGTGCTGCCATTAATGATAGTCATCTCTTTTTTGAATTTCGAAAAATTAAAGTAAAGAATTGTGCCTCTAAATTTCTACATCGAACAGAGTTTGGATTGATCATGTCATTGAAGCATGTGAAAAGTACAGATATAATAACAATCAAATCTCAATACGTACTCCAATTACATAAATATAGACTGCCCTTTTATGTCTTATAAACTGTTATTCAATGTCAATAGATGAATTGTCAAAACAAGCTTTTATCAAGTAAGCAATGAGATAGTACGTATATATATATGTCAGCGCCTAATCTCGGATTCAGTCCAATCTTGGGTGCCTACATTAGAGTAGTCCAAGTTCCGATTGAAGTGATCCTATTCACTAAAATATTAATAACTCTTTAATTAGACGCCACATTCGACGTATTTTTTAAAATTATGATCACATGATATCAATTTGTTTGACGCAATTGTTGCTGCAGAGATTAAAGAATAGTTTTAAAAATTATAAGTTTCTTCAGAGCTATAACTTTTATGAGAAATTGTTATTATTTTTTGAATTTAAATTCAGCTACTTCGCTGATGCTTGTAACACTTAAGAGAGAGTCCGCCAGAAAATCGACCAATATAAGGGAGGGATGGCGGCAGAAAAAATTTAGATTTTGACTTTGATATTCTCATTCGAAAGCCCATAAAAAGTTACTAAAGAAACTAAAATATCAACTCATTTTGATTTATCTATAAGAAGATAGCAGGTACCCCATTTTTTCGACTTCTCGGATCATATGCTAAAAATCGATTTTTTTAATCTTGATCGTATTTTGCGAATTTCTCCTCCATGGTTTTGACGGTTTGAGGCGCGGAACGTCTCAAATGATAGAGCATGAAATTCTCCACAAAATGGTTTATTTCTATTGTTTTTTGAATGCAATTTTTCTTGAGAAAGGAATGACGTTTGAAAAAAAAACAAGTTACACTTCCAGTCATCAAGCTTCAGTGTCATCGGTGAACGTTCTATCAAAGTAAGAGATCCCATACTGAATTTTTGGTATGTTGTAGCCCTATTCACGGCGCATCTTTTGGTATATTCCCCATTGAAAAATTTCATCCGGAGGTTATAAAAGTTTTCGTCACAAAAGTTCGAATATAACATTATTTTACTCATCTGACATTATACTATTGAATTATTTCGTGAATACGTCGAGAACGTATTTATTTGAATAGTTTGAAGTTTTATAATTGAAAAGACAATATGAAAGCTGATGATCCGTAGTAAATTCAACGGATCATTGAATTGATCACTGTTGAGGACTTATCGATATATAATTGAAAAAATCCTACAAACATTTTTTACTACTTCCTCGTTGTGCTGTTTATATAGGTCATAGTGATGCAATAGTTATTGATTATTTCTGTGTCATATCTATGGTGTAAATCGTAAATGTTTCAGTTCCTTTTGTCATTGTCTGTTTGCGTTAACTAGGCCTACTCCACGCGTTCTTCGAGAAATGATTTTGAGTATTTTATCTTTTTGTTTCACTTTACATTCGCTGTATTATGTTTCTTTGTCTGAGGCTTTGTTAGCAGTCTATTTTATAATTTATACCTGTTATTAGTTTAGCGGCAATATTGATGGATAACTAGGAAAATGTTCTGAATACAATGAGAATAAATACTATGAAGAAGTAAAGTTATAATCAAAATGCATAAGTGGAAAACCACAATGGAACATGAAATCTGCCGACAGAACCGGTGAAAACAATGCAAAAATAATAATTAACTAGAACGAAATGTATTTTTAGACTTCGTTTATGTATATATTACTTTATCTCAGTGTATTGAGAAGCATTATGAGGTATCATCAGAAGGATGAATGGTAAAAGCAATAGAAACTACATGAACTAATTCTAAAAACTTCTCAAAGAGTCGGAGACAAAGTAAATAATTTTGAAAATATCCATTGTTTCTTTTTTTCTTCTCACAAATTTTAGTGCTAATATGCACATGTTCGTAGTCTTGATCAGTCTTTTTCTGATCATGGCGTGTAATATTTGCTGAAAATTTGCGATAAAGTAATGAGTGCATAAATACAATCTAAATGCACCTTATTTTAGTGTAGTACTATTTCTTTTATTAGCAGAGAACAGTAGAAAATTACATGAATGTCTAAGAGATATAACAACAGTTGTTTATGAATTTTCTACGAGTTCGCGACTAAAACGCCGCATAGAAACAAAACAGAGAAGAAGAGAATAAAAGTGGAATTATTCAATACACTTTGGATATAATTCGGTTACATTCCAATGAATTCTCTTTTCCTCTTGTTGTGGCATAGATATAGATATCAATAGAAATAAAACCACAGTTACTCTACTATTGCATTTACAGGGTGGTCGAAAAAAAACTTATCCCCCTCATAATATTTGAACGTGTATCTCTGCGGGAAAAAAATACGTAGGGGTAAGTTTTTTTTGGACAACCCTGTAATTTCTAACTTGATCCAAAATTACTCTCACTTTATATACATTTTCAAATAGCCAAAACCAACAATCAATATTTATTTGGCTCATACGTTCCTGCTGTGAGTTTTAGCATGTTCTATATATACGCTCGCTTCTTATTTGAATATAGGTTCAATGTCATGGTTTATATATCCCCTTCGCCAAAATAAACGGCAAAAATTGTTTTGACAATTATCCTTCTCTACATGGTTAAATTGGGCTCATATTTACATCACAGATGCATCTTTGATTGCTAGAGTTACCATAAAAGCTTCAGCTATACACAACGAATCTTTCCTGAGAAAATCAAAAAATCTGTGTCATGTACTGATGTAGTAGTGAAACCATAATTTACTGTTTTGCTGAATTGTTTTTATTCTTTCAAATTTTATTTGGAGTACAAGGTGACAAGTAACGTTCATCGTCAAGCGATTCACTTAGCCCTAGACTGATAGTATACATGCACGGATGTAATAGCATAAAAAGCTACATTAAAAAAGTAATACGCAAAATTGATAATATAACCAGTATATCTTAGGCGAGCAGAAAACTTAATTCGAAGAATTCTCACTCTAAGTAAAGATAATGCATTTTACAAATTTAATTT